TTAGCAAATTTAGACAGCTATCACATATCAAATACATACAAACAAACAAAACAAATGCATTTGAGCTCATATATGTATCTATATACATATTTATGTATATTTATCTAGCGGTTGTTGTGGCTGTTATGCCATTCAATTAGCGGCATTAAAGGTTTATAGGTCGCMACAAAATTTCGTAAGCACTTATACACAACAACAATGTTATTTTTATTTGGGCATCATATATTTCTGTAAACACAAAACTAAAAACATATTTGAAAATAATGCTGGTTATAATTATACGATTTTTAAATATACATATATGTATATATGTTAGATCTTCAAATATAACATTATAAAWGTAAAAGAAGCAGCACAAAATTTAAAACTTAAAATGCATTTCAACACATTTGCGAAAGTTATGCAAGTAACCTTTACGATACCTATTTAAATATTTCGCACCGAAGCTCTGCGAGTTTCATAAATATTTCGCTATTAGCTGAGGCGATTAGAAGCCCTCAAAAGACTGTCACGAGACTAGTTGGACAACTTACCAACACTTCTTACCCAGTGAAAGTTAAGCAAAACTTACGCTCCACCTGCTTGCATTCATCACGCCGTGCATCATATTTTGCAATGAAGAATGGAAGTTGCGCAAGCGATGCTCTTATGCATTTGGCTTTAACATTGAATTTAACACTGTCCGGAATTCAGTGAGTGTTATAAAATATGAAATTGAAATATCTACACTTCCATGCATAACTGTAAATGGAAAATATTTTTAAGTATTACTTAACAGATAAGTTCACAAAGCGGTATTTCTTTCRTAGTAGCTGCTTATAATATTATCTCTCCACTCTTATCCACAGCCAGCTGCTTGGTATCAAACATTTCTGGCAATTTAACATCAACTCACTCTCGACGTTAATGGATTTTATAAATTTTGCTTAAARTTTTTACAGAATTTTAACTCAGAAGCCTTTCAGGACTTCAAAACTATGGTTGCTATCGCTCAAGTATGGCTTTACTCTTTTTAAGAGAGGGGTACGCACTCACACCAAGCTACTTCATAATCAGGCTCATTTGCAAGAGAGTCCAGCTCACATCGGGTACTTTTGCTCTAGAGTACAACACAGAAGATCTACTGAACTACTTAGAGSATTTCTTACTAGACATTCGGCAATAGGCATTCCTGTGATAAAACTAAAAATCTTGTCGAATGCAAGTTGAATGTAAGAAGGAGAGGTGGAAACATTTAGATACTTTCTCCTCTATTGTCCAGCTTATGCAAGACCGACGTTGAAACATTTCGGAAGTCATACCTTCGACAAACCAGGAAACAACCGAAACTGACAAGAGCTGCCTAATAGACTCAAAGCGATTTAAGAGGGTCTTATGATCAATTATATTTCAGTTTTTAGTACCATAATGGAGCGACGTTCTAAGCTGTCCAAAAAGTCCCTATTACGACCGACATCTTAACCTATCTATCAAGTATTTAGAAAAGATATTCAAAAAATATTATTGAGAGTTAATCCAATACAATATTATGCTCGTTCGCAAATAAATCAGGTATTGACAAATGCATAGAAATTTAGAAATTTGAGATAAAAAACTKAATCAATATCGAAATACGTATATATAATATATTCTTTGTAGTTGATTTTATAACGTATATATATATATGCGATTTAGATGAAATATGCACCGTTTTCTGCAACTTGCTGATATTTTCGTCATCATTGAAACACTTGTCTTCTACCRCAAAACCCTGACACAGTCGATTTTTATAAATCGCTCGGGCGAAATTTTCATCRCAAATATCATTCGACATAGACAGGCACAGGTAGTAATTACTTGATACCGGGTACAAGTTATAAGCATAAAATCAACCCAACTAAGCGAATCACTATCGTTGTATGTGATGTGAGGTTACTCCACGGAACACAATATCTCCTAATAGTCAAATCAACTACTTTTGGGAAATTGCTTACTTCTGGGTTACATTTTTGACAAGTGTTGAAACAATACTGAGTCAAGCAATCACAAAATTTTTAAAAAATATATTTTTTAGTACGAAATTGTATCTTTCTAAAGCCATATGGCAGAAACCAATCACACTTATACAAAGCGAAATGCAGACTCGTCATCTATTCGAGGAATATTGTATGTCTTATTACTAGAAATTAATCGATCTTAGAGGTGCTTATAACAAGTTTTTGAATTTTAGTTATATTTAATCTATTTTTTTGACAGTTCACCAACAAAATCTTAGCAGAGTGGTTCACCTCAACAAAAGCAAAGCACTTGTCGCTGGGCAGAAAAGACATTCAAGGCGCCTTATCTGATTTCCTCAAATTCCTAATATTCTCTTCGTTTGTTCTACTTTAAAGGGTTATACTAAGCTTCCATTTAACTTTTTTTCTGCATGAGTCTCAAACCAAAATCAATATTGCAACATAATATCTACTGTTCGATGTTGAAACATAAGAAGCAACACGCTTGCTTGAAAGCTTAACCACTCACAAGCTTATCACTCTTGGTAAACAATACACGTAAAGAGTRAATCCTAAAGTGACGTCATCGTAATTTGTTTATTTTCAATAACGTTGCTTCCGAGTGCTTACACAAGCCCGAGGATATTTGGATTCACGAAAAGTTGTCAGACTGATTGAAGTATTTGCAAATATAATATACTTGTATAATAGTAGTAGTACGTGGCTTTCAAAAAAGCAAACTTTAATCAAACAAATTTAAAATTTACAATTACTGCATATATGTAAGGGTGTAGTAAAAACATATTTCACTACACACAATCTTCTTATGAAGCTTAAAAGTTTAGGTTAACAGTGCTTCTTTCGGACTTTTTTTGAGATAGTGCTAGAATTTTTCCCTAACCCGGATTTTAGTGGGTAAGAGTGCTTTAAGTATTATATAGCAAACGCTAGTCAGCAGTAGATGGGGGAATTGACAAAGAAACTTTGTTGTCAACAAACAAAGTAATATCGGCCGGCCGGTCCTTAACTGGTCGCCTGGACACACTGAAACGCAGATGAGAAAGCTACAGTCATTTCTAAACACTGCACTCCGGACTGCAATGCGATGTCTCATGATGTCTCCCATCGAACATCTGCACAGTAAGAACCGCATAATCACAGTTTAGAAGCATAATGAACTCCTCTCCAAGCAGTTTCTGCTGGGGTTCTTTCGTAGAAATCATACCAGCATTCGGACGTGACAACTTCAGACATACAATGACCGCCATTCACGGGGGAGCCATAAACGCCTTCAGCGACACCCTGCCACGAGAATCGTTCGGCTTGCGCAATTTCGTTCTGTATATTGGAGCAGGTTAAACACTTACTTATACATAATGGACCCCCACATATCAAGTGTATATGGAAGTGTGCAGCGAGTCTCCGCTTGATACAACCCATCTCTTTATATGCCCAGCTAACCCTAYACATCTGACATCCCTATCCCAATTATCCGACACCTTCGAAACAGTACGTCTCCTGGGCCCAGCGTTGGATAACTTCGATTTCAACTTATCTGAACCTTACCATCTTAACGGAGAGTAGATAACCGTTATAACAACAACCACGAACTGAGTTGATTTGGTCATGTCCTTATTTCTTCAATAAGCTTCTTATTTGTCGGAACCGTCGATATTGAACGTCTACAGCTTAGAGCTGCCATATAAAATTCTCGGCCAAAATACTATTCGTGGACGGAAACGGTACTTGGAAATATTTCTTATATCGCGTTACTATAGCAT